AGTCCAACCACCATAATTAATTAAATCCTAATGACAGTAACCCATCATTAATAATATGGAGGGATTAGCAATGAAATGAAGCTAACCACAACAAAGGGCCTAGTGGTAAGGGTATGGACTGCGGTTGCCCAATAAACAAAACAATGTGGGAGGTTTTGGGTTTTGATGCTCCGAGCTGGTAAGTCTGCTTAACTGTAGTCACGAACAGAGTGAAATTCTCTAAAAGAAATGGATAACCGTAACTTCTCACATGTTGTCCTCAAAAAAGAAAAAGAAAAAAAAAGGCCAATGAAATGAAGCCCTTATGCAACTATAAATGCAATGTTACCAGTGCCTAGCTAGGATAAGCAGCTCCTTAACAATGGAAGAAATCAATCCATCATACATTCTATCAGAAGAATACAGGCCTAAACACGTAATCACCGAAGGCGAAGGAATCCCGTTGATCGATCTCACTCCGATAACCAACCGAGAAATGTCAGCCGGCTCTAACAGTAAGGCAGTGGAAGAGCTTGCCGCTAAGATAGGGGAGGCTTGCAGGACATGGGGGTTCTTCACGGTGATCAACCATGGCGTGCCTTCGGATATTCGGAGAAGAATTATGGAGGCGTCGAGGAAGTTCTTCGCGCTGCCGCTGGAGGAGAAGAAGAAGGTGAGCAGAGAGGCTCATAACACAGCAGGGTTTCATAACGATGAGCATAGCAAAGACTTCAAGGACTGGAAAGAAGTTTATGATTTTTATGTAAATGATGGGTGCTAATGCCGGCTTCCCATGAACCCGATGACCCCGAAATTGTTCCATGGTACACTCCGTGGCCCGAGAACCTATCCAAGTTCAGGTAAATGTCCCTTACAAAATACTAATGTTATGTAAATTATTAACAATCTGACGACATAACATGTCATGTAGGGAAACATGTGAAGAATATGGTCGAGCATGTGAGAAGTTGTTTTTCAATCTGCTGGAACTGGTAAGCCTCAGCTTAGGCTTACCTCCTACGAGGTTGCATGGATACTTCGAGAATCAGGCAAGCTTTGCCCGGCTCAACTACTACGCTCCGTGCCCCAAACCGGACCTTGTTCTTGGCACCGGTGGACATAGGGACCCCAGCGCTCTTACCGTCCTTGCTCAAGAAGATGTTGAAGGCCTCGATGTGCTGCGAAAATCAGACGGAGCGTGGGTTCGCGTCAAGCCTGTCCCGGATTCCTTTGTCATCAACGTTGGTGATGTTCTTCAGGTACTACATCTCTTGAGCAAATGTTCATCCTGTTAACATTATTCGATTAAAAAACTTTGGTTTCTTGGCAGGTATGGAGCAATGATCTTTACGAAAGCGTCGAGCATCGAGCCATGGTGCACGCAGAAACGGAGAGGTATTCGATCCCCATATTTTTTCACCCATCTCACGACATAACAATGAAGCCGTTGGATGAATTGGTCGACGAAAGAAGCCCGGCGAAGTATCCAGAATACAAGGCAGGGAAGTGGTTGAATCTGAGGATGTTTAACAATTACAAGAAACATGGCTTCTATATGCGGATGACTGACTACAAGATTGCTGCTTAGCCGGCGGATTTCTAATCCAACGGCTTATACTATGTATGATTCTCCAAGTTCTAGTACGGATTATATGGTAAAATAAAACGAAAAGTTTGTAAAACCAGACCGTTTATTACACGAGTAAACGTTGTAGTTTTACGTATTTAGGAACTGAATCGTAGCTATTGAGCTCAGAAAGTTCGATATTGTGAGAATGTCGTATGTAAACAAGAGCACACATTGCAAAAGAGATGCAGGCAGCGACCTACGTTGCTATACTACATTAGAATTAGCCCTTCGATCCGATGGCATTTCCACGCTTGATTAAAATGACACGGACATTGTCTTAAATTATCATTCTACTTCTGAAAAGTACAAATATGTGTGAGAATCTGTTCTTGCCTCTCAACTAGCATTAGAAGAACACATACCCGTTTCTAACTACTACAGCGTTTCATTAGCAAGATGACTCGTAGATGTGTATTTACGCATTCAAACTGTTCCGATGTTGCTTGCTTGTTAAGGAAGAATATATACAACACTGACATCTAGAGTGATTACTTACAACGGCAAGGGGTGCAAACTCTGGGATGACCTGCGGGAACTTTCTGCCGGACTGAAAGCACCAGAGATTCCTTGGCATGATCTGCCCCCGACCTCTCAACTAGACTGATTTTTAAGTTAGGGATGTTGCTGTTTTCAAGCACTCAAGTGCAGGATGCAGTATATAGCTCATAATAAAATATAATCATAGCTAAATTAGTTTCTTTTGTCTTCAAGTTCTTCTAGCCACCTGAACAAAGTAATCAAACAAAAATAGCGAAACACATAACCAGGGATATATGTCAATAAACACAAACATACAAGGAATGAAATTTTCTTGGGCTGCAAAGAAACAACGGTACTGCAAAGAAATTATTCGACTTGATATGTCAATGTATAAGAGCAAAATGTAATGATAACAACGAAAATACAATGCAAGCCTTACAGCATCCTCATTTGCATTGGTAACTTCTGATGCCGATGTGTCCACAGAGGCTTTTTTCCCCACCTTTCGTTTCTGCTACATCCAAAACTACAGAGTTAGCATAACATCATTGGAAACAGGGCAAAGCATTCAGAGTGCAACTTTCACAATTCACAGGAAACACACTGCACGCACAAAAAGACAATAATTTTCACGCTATAGTTGAATGTTGTCAAATGGTATTTAGACTCCTGGGTAGCATGCATTGGAAACTTTAATGAATGATGCATCGGATAAATATGAGACCATATACATCCATAATAAATTTGTATATAATGAACGTTGTACACAAATCCATTCCAAGCTTGTGTCTCATAAGAACACATCCTTTAAAGAAACAACGTAGATTGTTACTCACTATCAACAACGTTGCATCAAACTGTGGGTGTGGTGATGGTTGAACAAGAGGTAGTTCCAACATCTATAGAAAACTAAAACATATATCTAGTTTATGACTAAAACTAACTACATGGAGGTGGAAATGATACTTTCATCCAAGTCCACTTAAGATTTCAACGATATAGCCACTTTTTGAGGGAATGGTATAACCAGTTAAAATTGTAAATGTCAAACAATATAAACTGAAGTTGACATATGCAAGCTAATAAAGCATTCATAGTATTTCACTCTTACCCTTTCCTCCAGTGAAACATCACTTATAGTTTCCCAGCTCTCACTTTCCAAGCATACTAATTTTTATTTTTTTTTATCTTATTTTTTTACTAAGTCAAGGGTATCCCAAAGGCTTCCAAGGAAGCCCGAGGACTAATCCCTCTGGCGCATGTGAAATGCTCCAACTGTGCATTGCAGCACAGTGCCTGGCCACTTTGACAGCTTCGGGGTTCGAACCTAGGCTGGGGAGCAAACCCAACTAGGCAAGAACCATTAGGCCACTTGGAGTGGTTTTCCAAGCATACTAATTGAACGTCGCAGCTACTATCACATGTGATCTGCCAGTATGATGGGAAATTAATCACAATAATTCAGATCAAGCAGTACAGCGATGGTTTTGATAAATACACAACGTATCCAGCTTACAACGCATTAAAGATGAAACAAAAGCAACGAAATTTAATCTCTAAAAACTTTCCACATAGTTTACTGTATCATTGAAATAGTTGTTTAAAAATGGAAATAAAAAATATAGTCATATTTAGTCACCTTGTACGTATTGTTTTGAGTGTTATAACCATCCACTGTACCTGGATAAAAACTGGTAAAGAAAAACAAATATTGTTATAAACAAGGGCTAAAACAATGCTGAAAATCATCTCCTAACAAGGTCTAAAACAATGCTGAAAATCATCTCCTAACTGGGGGAATGCTCACCATTTATCTACTGGAGACAAAAATTTGATCCTTTGCCCAATCAATGCCTCATCCTTCTCACTAATTTCCTACATAATTAATTATAAAATATTTCTAAGGACACAGTAATCTCAAAAATGTAATACAATTTCAAGTGTATTCTCAGAAAGAGCTTATTCTTACTTTCCAGCTGCAAGGGCCCCTTAGCTTCGTTCTGGGGTGATTGGAATGTTCCACGTTAATGTTTCTTTTCACATTAACATTTTCCATCAATCGAATGTTATTTTTTTTCAAATTCTGGACTGAGACATTTGATCCACAGATTGTAGCTACAGAATCACAAGATGAAAGTATTTCTTTTTCCAAAGTAATCCCAGATTTTTTGGATACACCATTCTGGTAATCATTAACAGAATCACTTGGAGAGAGATCTCGTTTTCTCCTACGTCCTCCTGTACTGGTGCCTTGTTTCTCAGCCTTCCGGGGTTCAGCTCCCCCATCACTGGACAAATTAACTATCTTGGAAGATGTTAAGATAAGTTTGTTGTCCTTGAAAACACTGGATTGTGTGCTATCCTCTTGACACTTACGCCCACGTCTAGGAAGAGCACTGGCAGGCTGAAACGTGAAGAAAGAGTTTCCAACAAAATGTTTATAGGAAGAATATATCATTAAGAAAATCATAGGGGCAATATAACTAAAGCTGTAAAGGAAAACTGGAGATACATACCAAAGAGATATTTGATTTAAATATGTCAACTAACCTTTTGAAGAAGTACTCACCAAAACATGATTGATTGAGGCATCTTGAATTGGACTGCACAGAACAGATAATAAAAAGGTGAAATAATGTGGAACAATTAACTAGAAATTTAAATTTCTTCCAGCCAAAAGATAAAGAAAAGAATATCAAATCTTATTGAAAACTGCTCATCACTTTTATTAGAGATACTTACTTTATATAAGGATGATGGTAGAAAAACTTTCCCAGGAGCATGTGATGCGGAGATGCCATTATGATTTGTTAACGTCACAAAAGAGTTCCCAATTTCTGCCAGAATATGCAGCTTCTGCATAACAAGAAAAACCTCCGTTCCTTAATTAAAAAACATAAACATAAAGTGAAGAGGAGAAAATATCTTCTGAAGGAAAACTCTTACACCAGTTAGTTCAACGTCTATAGCATCCTCAGCCCTCTTAATTGCATGGAAAATGAAAATCAAATACAAGACAGAATCCTTGGTAATATCCAGAGTACCAGCAGCATTACTGGCATTGACGAAAGCCTGCAATAAAACTAACAGTGGACTGCAAAGAGAAACATAATCCAAAGTGTGTCAGCATAGCTGCATTCATATTCAGTACTAGGCAATCTCCAATATTATCTGGATATATTTACATACCTGCAAAACTGAGCATATGCATTTTCATCTTGACAGTCGTCAGGTGGGAAGCCTGTATCATGAGCAAGAATATGGATAAATCTTTTTGTCCAAGTTACTTCTTTTTTTGTCCACGTTTCTTCTCTTTTTGTCTAACTCACTTCCTTTTTTTTTTGTGAGTTTTGGGAACATCCCCATTCATAGGTCCGAGATCCACATCTATGAATTGAAAGGTCTTGCAATCAGTTGTTAGAATCAATAGGTCTTCAAATCTTTCATTTGAAAAAAATTGAAACACTTCTTATTGGATGATCATGATACTTCCCAAAAATCAAAATTCTTGATCAATGGAGGAACAATATCACCATTTTTGTTCAATAAGATACCAGAGTGGATGATTGACTCATTCCATACTAGAAATAATCGCAGGAAATCTTTTGATAACATGGATTCCTGTTTCTCAATAATATCCCACGATCAAGACAATTGGCCACCACTATGTATGCTGGAAAATCAGTGTTTAATCCTTCTTGGACTCCAGAGATTTGACGCACTTGAGCTTCTCTACTGTAATCCTTGACAAATTCTGCAATATATTTTGACGACTAAATTGAATGGTATCAGAATACATTTACTTGCTCAAGCATACAGAAATAACTCATAGATAGATACAGCATATTTAGCATACATCATCCTGCAGATCCTTGAGGCAATCTGAGGTGGCCATTGCGAAAGCACTTGCATATCTGCTAGGTATGGCATGCTCCTTCAGTAATTTGTGTGTTTTATCAAGAAGTGATCTTCTCACCAATGATGAGTCATCCTGAAATGTGTAAGAAGGAAAAGAAAAATGACCGTGAACATATAATTAGTGGCAATTCAAGAGTGACAATGAAATCAAATCTGAAGAAACTGAGAAGAATATATAAATATTACCGGATGCAAGTCAACTAACTGGATTAAGCATTACTGGTGATTGATAGATGCATAACACGCTTATTGCAGTCTCATGCCATCTATTTTTTTAATAAATTTTATAAAGTGCATTTCTTTTACCATTTGTCAATCAGTCTATAAATGGGACAGCTCACTAGAAAAATCAGTGAATCTTATTAAGTTCGCTAAAGACACATTTATACTTTAGCAATAAACTATCATGAGCTCCAGGGACCAGAACCTCAAATTCCATCAGGATTCAGGAATATGTTTCCATTAGCTTTACAGGAAATGAAGTTCGAACAAGAAGTCCACCGGAATAACAGGTAACCAAGAAAAATGAAGGACAACACTAGGATACACAAATCAGAACCAAACATAAATACCTTTGCCCTTAAAATTATAAAGTGAAAAATCTCTGGAGAAATATGGAAATCCCATCTTTGAGCAAGCCGGAGAACAGACTTTGCAGCAGCTAATCTAATACAAGCCTTATCACTTTCACTGCAATAAAAATAAGTGAAACCAAATGAGTGGTGTTTGAAATACTTATCACATTCACTGAACACAGATTTTAAAAGCACCAAAAAAAAAAAGCAGAAAACTGTAGCCTTTTTATTCAGTTGTGTGTTGCTCAAAATTGCCATTCACAATAATGAGCATCAGTCAGAGACTCACAATAAAAGCCTAAACAAACAGTTGAGAATCTCCTTTCTGAACGTCAAAGTTTCCAAAGCATCCCTCTTCCCATATTTAGCAGAAGTCTGGAAGCAAAAGAATTGTAACAATAAACTCAACTACTAATGCAGTCATGCTTATGAAAACAAAACCACATTTTTTACTGCTTCATTCAAGCACCACAGAGATTCTAGTCAAAAGCTGAGACGATATCCAAACACATGTAGTATAAGCTAAAAAAAGAGCCCGAGCGCGAGGCAGAGATATATAATTAAATGAGTTCGTTAATTTGACCTTCAATTCACTTGAGCCAGAACGAAGAATTAAACCCACATAAAAGTTAAGGACAAGCTCATACAGTTTAAAACTTTCTATTTGATGACAGAATCTGAAATCATACCCTGAGGTGATACCCTCTGCAGTTTCTCCCTTTTGCAGCATTGTGGACAAAATGCCACAGAGCTCATTAATTTGCCGTTTAGTTGTCCTTGAGCTCATTAATTTGCTGTTTGGTGTGAGTTCCCCGGTGTGGCAAGAAGCTCTTGACAAGTGTTTTCAGGCCATATGTCTGCAAAATAAATGTTTAGAGAAACCAATGGAACTATCAAGTAAGTATTTGGTTTGGTGTAGAAAAATGCACTGTGAGGATCGGTGTACTTCTAAGCCCAAGAAGTAGTGTAAAGGACCAAGATCCTTTACTGGAAACTGAGAACTGAGTTGTTTAATAAACTGTTGACAGAGGTGAGAGTTTGGACCAGTCACAAGAATGTCATCAACATACACTAGGACAATAACCAAATGAGGACCATTGAGAACAAACAAAGATGCATCAGAGGATGATTGATTGAATCCAAGAGAATGAAGGGCTTGATAGAGTTTGTCAAACCAGGCTCGGGGGGCTTGTTTTAGTCCATATAACGATTTTCTCAACTTACAAACATGACTAGGAGAAGTAGGATCAACAAATCCTGGAGGTTGTTGCATGTAGACATCCTCCTTTAAGTCCCCATGAAGAAAAGGATTGCTTATATCCAATTGATTGAGAAACCAATTATATTGGACAGCAAGAGTAAGGAGGATGCGAATTGTAACCGGCTTTGCAACCGGACTAAAGGTCTCTTGGAAGTCAATACCCTCTTGTTGATGAAAACCCAACTACAAGGCGAGCTTTGTACCTATCAATAGTACCATCAGCCTTTTTTCTTAACTCAAAACACCCACTTACAGCCAACTAAATTTTGAGAAGGATGAGAGGGATGAGTGACCAAGTACCAGTAGATATCAAGGCATTGTATTCATCTTGCATGGCTGCTCGCCAGTGAGCATGCTTAGAAGCTTGCAAGTAAGTACTGGGAACATAATCAAGATCAACAGGAAGAGGATGTTTGGTTGCTGCATAAACCTGAGACTTAGATTTACATATGCCAGCCTTGGATCTTGTAATCATGGGATGAGAATTAATGGGGATAGGAGGATGACTTGGCAAACTGTGTGGCAAAGGTGAGGGTTGATAGGAGCATATTTATGCGCCTTAGTTAGCTAGTTCTTATGCATTTTCGTTATGTTTTCTTCGTTAAAGTAGTCTTTTAAGCTACTTTCATGTGTTTTCAGGTTAAAGGACGTATTACATGAAATGATGCAAGTTGGAGCTTTTGGAGCAAGAAAGTGAGCTTGGATTGAAAAGGACATGCTTGGAACACAAGGTTGGGATGGAATTGAAGAGTTGAAGATTTGAGGTTTCCTACTTGATGTAGGAAAGCTAAGCCTAAAAGTTTCCATTTTGGGTTGATCTTTCCTAAACCGGAATTGGCAACCAAAGTTTCTAAAAGTTGGAATTTTCTATCTTGGAGGTTTCCATTTTCGTGAGTTTCTATTCTTGGCTTTGGGCTTTTAGACGACCTAAACCCGAACTCCTTGTGGACCCTAAGCCTATGCCGCACCTTTCCATTCTAGAAGGCCTATTTTACAAACCCTAGCCCTAGCCCACTTAATTGCCGAACCCTAGGCCTTTGCTCATTAAAATTCTGATTGCTTAACCTATTTTTCTGATGGACTTGTGTTTTAAAGGCCCTAATCTGATTTGCTAGGGTTTTTAAGTGCCTATATATATATTTTTACACCCTAGCCGCACATCACATCCCCCTCTACACAATTCAGAAATCGTCCAACCCTTTCTCCCCTTTTTGCCGCAGCCACCATCACCCTAAACCAACCTTGCCGCAGCCTTCACCCATTCCAGCAACTTTTCCCACCTTTTGCTGCAGCCACCACCCATTCCAGCACCATTCCACACATCCATACACCATTCTCCACCTCCATAAACCATTCCCACACCTTGCCGCACCACCATACTATCCTATCTACCTTTCAAAACCCAAAAACACATCCAGAAAACTCCATTCACGCCAGAACCTGTCCCTCACCTTTGCCGAGCCCAACCTTCACCCAACTCCATATTTTCTGACCCCAAACCTTCCTAGCCGTGCCCTACACCCATCCTAGACATTTTTCCACCATTCTCCCTCGTCCAAAATCATCCAAAACTACCCAAAAAAAACCCCTAAACCCTCTCTGCCGCAGCAAGGAGAAGAAGAAGAGGAGCTTGCTGTGCAGAATTCAAAGTGGAATTCGTTGGCATTTTAGGTGTAATCTTTCTTATGTCTTCGATGTTTCAATTCAATAAACTTTGTGTTGTGAGTATGAGGAACTAAACCCCCTTAGTTGGGGGGTGATTCGAAACCATGTACATGCTTGCAATTTGATTCGATTACATTCAGTTGTTATTTCATAAGTTATGGATTCAATTCGTTCATCTATTTGATTGATAACTTATTTGTGTATGTTGATTGAGAGTGCACGCTTAGTTTTCATGCATGAATATGATGCTAGATTATGAGGGAGTTTCACCTAATAGTTACAATCTTATAATCACAAGTAGTGAAGATCGCTTGAAAACGATCGCGTTGAATGAATTCTTAGCATAAGTTTCATGCAATTCATAGTAACAAATGCTTCGTCAATGCTTATGTTTTTCATAGAACGTAATGATTCTTGCTTGTATCTCTATTATGCAATTCATGTAGGGAACTTGTAGGGAATGTTTTGGGTTGTCGTATGCAATCATCCAACTTAATAACTTGTGGAAAAACTGAGGGTTAATTAGTGCAATTCACGGTTAACTTGGGGCGTTGAGTATTCATAGTTTATCAGAAGAACAACTGAAAATCGTTTTGTTTGCAAGTGTGACATGTGTGGAGAAGAACCTCCTAACTAGCCTTTTAACCATCTATTTCACCAAAATCGTTTTTACAATCTGCCCTATTTCCAATCTGTTTTCTTTAGTTTAATTTTCGTCAAAACAAAATCCCCCTTTAATTTGAAGTCTTAGATTAGTTAGAAAGTGTTTTGATTTGTGTTTCTAAGTATTTTGATTCAAGTTTTCATCAAATTTCGTCCAAATTAGTGTAGGTGCTCAAAACTGCCCAGAAAGTGGTTTTTAGGCAGTTTTGAGCCTTCTAGTTGCTGTTTTGGTTTTTAGGTACTAATGTATGACTAGAAGCTCTCAACCGATTCGTGCGAACATCTTGGATTTTGACGACGATTTTGAGAGGAAGTTGAGAAGAGCTAGAAATCAGCAGAACAACCTCCACTCAATTCCGAATCTGACCTTGAAGAAAACATACAAGAAGAGGAGGAGGAAGCCACGGCAGGGATATTTGAAGAAGTCCAAGGCATGGCCATGGACAATCGTACACTCAAGGAGCTTTCCGCCTCGGGTTTGGATAATGCCACACCCTTGTAAGCAAAGCAAACGTTCTTCAAGCAATAGTAAGCAAAGCAATGAAATTAAGACTTAGAATTCACTTAGATTGCAGAAATTAACTTTAAAACACAAGGGGGATACTTAAACAACTCCTTAGGGTCAAATTCATTGTTTTGGACCCTTACTTCAACAAACAATACTTTGGAACTCTTTTTCTCAACTTTTCAACTCTTTTTTCATTCTTCTCATATTTTTTTTTCTTCAATTTTTCTTTTTCCACGAAATTTTTTTTTTTTCTTTTCTTTTCTTTGCCGTGCCTATGGCACACAATTCCTCATGAAAAACACTTCCCCCACACTTATTTTCTGCTAACATAGATCAAAAGGACTTCAATTCGAATCATGCTTTACTATGCTTTAAGAACAAGGGTATGGATAGTCCTAATCTAGGCTAGGTGAGGGTAATGTAGGTTAACAAAGAAAAGGCTAAACAAAGCTCAACGGGGTTAAAAACCTACAAAACATAATAACAGAGGGGATTTACAGCTTTTTGGCTATGGTTGTGGTCACTACACAACTTTATCTTGAATATGTGTTATGCAATTCAATGACATGCTTTGAATGAAGTGGGCATGAGTTCTAGCATTTGGAACTAAATGATGAAACGCCTTCTAAGTAATAACCAAGCAAAGAATAATGAGATCATGCAACGATTTTAGAAATCAACAATGCACAGATTTTAACTCTCCAAATAAACGTTTAGGCTCAAGTCTCACAAGGTTGTAGCGTTTGTTTGAGTTCCTTCCTTCAAGCATGTTACAAAAACTGATTTTTTCCTTTATGATTACATGTGAATTCATAAGTTATAACCACAACTAAGCATAAACAAAGAGTAAATCAAACTTTCATCCATGTTAATCACTCTCTTTAACAGCCATGTAATTACAAACCGAATCCTCATCATTGTGTTGGAAGGTACCCTAAGACACAAACAAACACACAAAAACAACTCTTTTTGGGTTTTTAAAACAAATTTTTCAAATTTTTATGTAATTTTCGGATTTTTACTTCAAAACACACTAAAACACATCAAAACTGCTCAAAAACACTTAAAAACAGCAAGGAACAAGTCTTCAAGTTTAGGGTGATAAAATCCCACGAATTTGCATCTAAAACACTTAGTTACCCCCCCACACTTAAATCAAACATTGTCCTCAATGGTTCAAGCATAAAATCACACTAAACAAAAAGAAACACACAAACAGCAACTAAAACAACTAAATAGGCAGATTCGAAATAAATAACAAAGGGAAGAGTTTAGGAACGCAAATCTAGAATTGGAGTGATTCCTTGGTCTTCCTTTGTTGAATTGCATGGGTTGCCTCCCAAGTAGCGCTTTCTTTTACGTCTTGCAGCCGGACGAAGAACACAATCATGCCCCATTGGAGCCCACGGCACTCTCATACATTGCATCTTTGAACGGTAATGGATAGTGATGTTCGTTGATGGGTGCGTTGTGTTGCCTAAGGTTCACGTACATGCGCCCACCATCGGGGATTTGCTTGGGTACCTGCACCATAGAAGGGAACCACCTCTTAATTTTAATGGGAATTGGATTTGGACTAGGTGCCTTACCTTGGTGTTGTGATGAAGTGGCAGCAACATGAACTGTTTTCCTCATGGTATTCTCGGCCACATGGGGTATCTTAAGGGTAGTGGCCGTGGGGTCCTCATGCTCCACTCCAATTCCCTCATCTTGCATGGTTCTTGAAGCAACCTTTGTGTTAGGGGCTGAATGATCCGTCC